CTCTGGAACCATAAGCCCAAATAAACTCTTCTTCTCTACTTTGCCTTGGTCATGGTGTACTATCACAGTAACAGAAGGGAAACTAATACACAGGGCAAAGGGGGTCCCTGTCCACACTTCACCATGTGACCTCTCCCTCTTGCTCATGGATCTGCCTGCCATGATGCAATGTATTCAGATGTCCCTGGTGAGAGTCCGAATCAGCACCATGTTGTTTCTATGATTGGCATCCAAGATTGAACTGTAGGAACATTTTCTTGGCCCTCTTTTCAGTTGGCGTACTGGGATCCAACCCAGGACATGCCAAGCAACCACTGTGCCACTGCATTCTTAGACCAAACTCATCTTTAGAAGTCACATTGGATGAACAGGCTGCTGTAGGCTTACGTGTTTTTCTCCACCCTACTTTTAAAAATGGTTCTGAAACGCTTTAACCTTCATTCTAGCCCAGCACCCACCAGAGGTAGTGGAAAAGAAAGGTTATTAGGATATAGGGGAAGTGTTTAGAAATTGTTCTTTGGAGCAAATCCCATCTGCTTTGTCAGAAAATCAGCAGTTCAGTTCACAGGAATCAGTAGCAGCAGCTCAATCCACTTGCAAACACTTCATGGATACACCAGCAGTCCAGCTGAATAGTATCGAGATAGCACAACCTAGCAGGAACAGCCAGGCCTCAGCCGAACTGTCTCAGGGATGTTCTTTGCTATGGCTTTCTCAATGAAGTGAAGATCAGCAAAGACACAAGGCCAAGAAGCATTGCAAAGCTATGTCAGCAAGCCAACCCTCCGTGACTGTCCATTGAATCCTATTTATACTCCCTCCAAACATCACGTGCCCTCCATGGATCTTGCCTCAGCACGTGAGTCTGTCTTAGCAAAACTTCACAGGTGTCTGCTCAGCTGACATCTCTCTGCCAATCGCCCGAGTCTGAGGAAGCAGCTAAAAGCTGCTGGTGCACCACCAGAAAGTTTTCTGGTGCATTTCTCTCTATGGAGTCATGACAAATGGAGCTCAACAACACATGTAAGGTGAACCAGTACATGTGTGTTGTTAGCAAAGAATTCTTCATCACACGTCCTTTCATGTGCCTGCTTCAGCAAAACACCCTTTCGCTGGTGTCTGCTTCATGAAAACACTCCTTCACGTATTTGCCCCAGCAAACCCCATCAGACACAACTGACTTCCCAAAGAACCCTTACGTTTCCACTTCAGGCTGGTATTTCTACAATTAAAGGAACCCTGACTAGGACAGAGTGGTGAGAGGCAGAAGGGGGCCCAAACAGGGTAAAGAAAAATCAGAAGAAAGCTACTGACCAGCCTCCAGCAGTCATCTCAGGACTTTAAAAAGCCCTCTAGCTGGACACACGTCTGTAACCTCAGCACTTGGAAAGAGAAGGCAGTAGGATCAGGAGTTCAAGGACGGCCTTGGCTATAGGAAACCAAGTTTCAAACATCAACCCCACATAACACAACAAAAATCCCCCTCTTAAGACTCATCACAGAAGGTGGTAGTTCCCGTGTTTAGTACCTTCTAACCAATAGCAGCTCCTCCTCATTTGCTTTTTTGTACCATGAGTTATTTTGTTAAATGAGTGATAGCTTTGTTCCCTGTGTGTTGTTCAGGTCCGATAGTAAGTGAATCAGTTAAAGACACAGAACCCAGGCGGGACGCCCGTTGATGACCACACGTGCAGGCTCCACTCCGGGTGGCCCACCCACCCTCTTGTCCTCACGTGACAGCTATTGAGGAGCAGCTTCAGCTTGGCTCCTCCAGCAGCTGACCTCTAGAACAAAGACTGGTGGCTGTCAAGGCACAGAGAAACAAACTCAGCTTCCTACCCTGATGTGGGAATTGTAGAGTGTGGGGATGTGGGGATGCGAGGCAGGAAGAGAAGAGATTCCTTGTCTATTCCTTTCAATCTACTGCAACTTTATCAATTGCCCTGGTAATGGGTTTTGTTGTTGTTGTTGGTGGTGGTGGTGTTCGTTTGTTTGTTTATTTTTACTTTTGTTTTGGAGACATGGTACCATGGAGCTCAAACTGACTTCAAACTCAGTAACTCACAGTGTAGCCCAGGATAACCTTAAATTTCTACCTCTACTTTCTGAGTGCTGGGACTATAGGTGTATCATCCGGGTTTTATAAAGTGCTGGGAATCAAACCCAGGGCCTCATTCACACTAGCCAAGCACTCAACCAACTAAGGTACATCTCTAGCTCCTGGCATCTTCCTCCCTCCCTCCCTCCCTCCCTCCCTCCCTCCTTCCTTCCTTCCTTCCTTTCCTGCTTTCCTTTTTTCTTTTTTCATCTCTTTCCCCTTTCCCACTTTTCTCTCTATTTCTTTTTGTCTTATTTTTAAACACTAGCCTGGAATTCTGTGTAGCCCAGGGTAGCCTTGAGCTCATGTCAGTCTTCCTGCTTTACCCTCCCAAGAGCAGGGATTGCAGGAATAAGCTGTTATGCCAAAATCTCATTTTCTTTTTAAAAATATTATTTTCATTTTATACGTATGGATGTTTTGTTTGCATGTACTTCTGTGGACCATGTGTGTGCCTAGTTCCCAATGAAGCCCCAAGAGAAGGTCGGATCCCTTGGAACTGGAATTAACAGATGGTGGTAAGCCATCATGTGTGTGCTAGGAATCAAATCCAGGTCCTCTGGAAGAGCCAGCACTCTTAACTGCTGAGCTGTCATCTCCCCAGGCCGATCTCATTCCTTCCGTGACCTGCGACAGATGCTAGGGAAAAGCCTTGACAGTCAAGCATCTGGTTTTAGTACTAGCTTTGCTGCTGCTTATAAACAGTTGTTGAATAGGTAAACAGATTGTTTCAGTAACAGTCTGGGTAGGAGGGGATGCTGAAACTGGCCTAAGCTCCCCAATACTCTTTGCACTGAATTTTTTTCGCTCAGACATCTTTCCCCTGCCTTTTCTTTTTTGTTTATTTGTTTTGTTTTTTTTTTGAGATAAGAGTTTCATGCATTCCAAAGTGACCTCAAACTCACTAAATTGTTAAAGATGACCTTGAGCTCCTGACCTTCCTCCCTTCCTCTCTTAAGCACTGAGATTACAGCATGTACCACTATGGTGGATCCATACCAATGACTCTGATGACTTAAAGAATCCTGATTAATTCCCTGCATCTCACCATAGAAAATCATTGTGGAAGCTGTCTCCTTATGATCAGTGAAGAATTAACTTTTCTCCTATTAAATCTTTCTAAAGCATCATGTTAATAACGTAATACTGTGATCCTAATAGTAATTGGGAAAAGAATATCACACCCGGGCTGGTATGGAGGGGTGCGTCACAATCCCTTTGAACATGCCCTCAAGGATTTAGGACATCTCACTAGGCCCTACCTTGTTAAGACTCATGACACCCCCTTAAAACACTGTCTGGGAGACCAGGTCTTTTTTGGGGGACCATTCTTTCCATTATCAATCATTATAGCAAAGACTAGCAATCACAGAAGAATAAACGCAAAGGCTTGTTTCATGTATTTGACAAATGTCTGTTCACAAAGAAACACAAAGTAGAATGTGACACTTTGAATTTGCTCGTGTTGAAGGTCTGGTCCCCCGTTGGTTGATCTGATCAGCGAGAGGTGATTAGCTCATAAGGATTCTGACTCAGTGGTGTAATCTCTTAATGGATTTATAATATGACGGCATACTGGGAGGTGGCGAAAAGAAGTAGGTAGGAGTTATTTAAAAGTCAGTCACTTGCGGACATGCCCTAGAAAAATATCCTTATGCCTAACTCACTCTCTCTCTCTCTCTCTCTCTCTCTCTCTCTCTCTCTCTCTCTCTCTCTCTCTCCTCTCTGGCTACCCCAAGATGTGCAGCTTTGCTCCTGCATTTCACCACTCCTCTCCACCATAATGTTCCGTCTCACCATAGTGCCCCCTCCCCAAGTGGAGCCAGCCAATTGTGGAGAAACACTCTGAAACTGTGAACCAATGTAAATGCTTTCTCTTTTTAAATTGGTTCCCCACACACACATATTTGCCACAGTGTCAAAAAGCTAATTAACACATGAAATGAGATGCCATGTTATGTCCTACAGGGAAACATGAAGTTGGCCTGACCTAGCCGCATTGGGAGCCATATACCATAGGTTTTCTAGATTCGAATCTGTGGCTCCTGGAGCCACTGTATGTCTTTTAGTTCCTGAGAAATCGAGGCACTCACTCAGGCAGTGAGGGGTGCTTTGTATTTCTCCGTATGTTCTCTTGGAAATCCAGGAAGCATGTACAATTGGTCTTAGACATTAATCTTGCGTTCCCTATATAGCTTTCAAACATCATTTTATCCTACCAACTACAACTGTATTAATCCTGGCAGGTGCCACTGTATTCTGTTTCTGATAAAGGCATAACAAGTCTGATTGCTCTCAATAAACTTGTCACAGCCTCTGTCTTGGTGTGGCCCCTCCAACCCTCGCCTGGTTTAATTTCTCACTGGCCATAACAGGTAACCTTGGCCTAGTAAGCAGCATAGTGGTTTACAGTGTCCATCAACTTAGCAAACAGCTTTAAAACAGAGAACACACTGTAGTGGTCATAGTGTGACGGACCACCGTGATGTAGTTATGGCAAAACTGCAGCAATCTTTTGTGAGACAGCTCATCTATTTGGTTAAAGCATTTTAATCTAGCAATTTCAATTTAGAAATTTGCCTCAAGAGCATTCAGAAATGTATAAAGATATTTATGAAGGCAGTTTTAGAATAGTAAAAAGTCTACAAGTACAAATGTCGATGTCAACAACTAAGGAATGCAGTGAATAAATCATCAGGAGAGCAGCGTCTATAAATGAGGCCTCTGTCTAAATTGCTTGGGTTTGAATCACGAGCCCATCATTTCCTTGCTGTAAGAACTGCCTTATGGTCTGGTTTCTTCACCTATAAAATGGGATGGCTATAAGCACTAAACTGATGGAAACACGCATCTGATATATACTAAGTGGCGAATATGCATTCACAATTTTCTTAAGTTAACGATGATCACCGATGCTCCACATAAGAGCCATGCAAGGCTAGAGAGGGATGATTCCTCACTGGGGTTTTGGCAGAAGGTAAGTCTGGGTCTTGGGGCAAGGAAGTATTAAAAAAAAAAAAAAGGCCAAAAGAAGGAAAGCTGTAGCAACAAACAGCCCAGCTGAGGCGCTCTGGCCAGGCCCTGTAGGCAGACTGCATGCCAATCACTGTCCATAAACAAAACCCAAGCAATTGAGAAATCGACTTTTTCTTCCTTTGGGATTGTGCAACAGGGTAGCTCAGATTCTACAGCCTGGATTAGGAAGCGTTAGGAAGATACAACACTTTTCTAGGCTGGTTTTCTAAGATACCTATCAAGTCATTCAAGTGTTTGGTTTTGTGTTTATTTTTGCATTCCTACCATGTTAGGATGGTGACTGGACTTTGTAAGACGTGAATCTGGTTTAGGTGATTGCCTTCCCTTGACAGGTCCACTTTATAGGTTTAAAAGCAGAGATTAACCTTAGAACTTGTGTTGCCCAGGGGCTCTCAACCATTCGCGTGACAGGGACTCCTTCACAAGCTAATAAGGCCTTTTCCTCAGAATACTATGTTAAAGCGCATTCAGAGTCCCAAATTCAAAGCTATCGGGAACAAGTCACACTGAAGAGAAGTCACTAACATATTAAAGATAAAAACAAATTTGCGATGTAATAAAGTGTCTGTTGGCATTGTTTCAGGAGTAGGACCTAATTACTATTCTCAGTAGTAATGACTGTTGATTTGAAAAAAGGACTGAGCTCAGATGTTATCTGTGAAAATCCTATGACATCAAAGTATCAGTTGTAATTTATTAATAGTTGTAATAGTGTTATCTACTGCAAATATAACTGTCCCCAACCCTCGAAATTAAAGACCTTGCTCAATTTCATTTAGAAGTTAATACAAATAAAAATGTTTTCTCCTTCTCCGTTTTGTTCACATCTACCAGGCTAAGACATGAAATAATACTAAAATTATTCCACCTCTGGCCAACAAATTACAGCCCAGTTTTTGGTCCCTGTTCATGCCACAGTGGGCTAGCAGCGAGCTCAAGTGTCTTGTTCCAGACTCTTCCTAGTGTCTGCCTGGAACCTCATGGACCTAGGCTTGCATACACAGTACACTTAACTGATGGGAGCCTGCTCCTTGCCTGGGCAAAGTGGGAGAGAGCTAGTCTGGGAGTACAGGAAAGTCAGTGGGATAACCCAGGCCCAGATCCAGGGCTTTGAGTTATCCACCCTAACATCCACCCCATCTATGAAGTTTGTGAAGAGGTTAGTCCTGCATATCCAAAGCTGCAGGACCTCCATGATACTGGATGACGACAATAACAGGATTTCTGAGAGGAGTCTTGGTGAGGAGTCTTGGTGTAGTAGACCAATGGCTCACTGCAATTAACATTTGTAGGTAAAGAAGTGTGGACTGAGGGGTACACTGTGTGACACACCATAGCTTCCACGGTGACTTTTTAATTTTAATCTTTTTTTTTCTTTTGTGGGGGAGGTTGCCAAGGTGAAGGACAGATACAGAGGGACAAAGCACAAGCAGAATTGGGGTGCACGATGTGAAAGTCACAAAGAAGCAATAAGCAGTTTTCTAAAAACTGATGGGAGCCAAGTTATTTTGGAACAAAAGTCAAGTTTCGAGGAACAGTGTCAGCAAAACACTTGTCACGCAAACATGGAGACCTGAGTTCAGTACCTAGTGCCCACAGGAAAAAAAAGGCTAAAAGCAAACAGACTATTGGGTGGTACACAGATTTAATGCACCTGGGGGACAGATTCAAGCAGATCTCTTTGAGTTTGAGGCCAGTCTGATCTACATATCTAGTTCCAGAACAGTCATAGTTACATAATGAGACCCTGTCTCAAAAACTAAAAATCAAATATGCAGGCATGTGCTTGTAATTCCAGTACTGGAGAGACAGAAACACGCAGATCCCTGGCCTCACAGGGAAGCCTAATCTATGAGCCCTGGGTTCCAGTGAGAGATTGTCTTTGCAAAACATCAGGAACTGTCCTGAGGAACAACTGAAAGTTGGATTTAGACCACTTGGTTTTTTCTTTAAAAAGAGGTTCTCCTATTAACAGAGATACAGTTTAGCCTTCCTATGATCCAGTAAGGCATGTTAAAACTGCCTGTAAATTTTATTTAGTAAAATATCTAAAAACATCTCTCTGGAGCCAGCAAGATGGCTCAGTAGGTAAAGGAACCAAGATTGATGACCTGAGTTCAATTCCAGGAAGGAGGGAAGAACCGATTCCTTCAAGCTGTTCTCTGGTATTTCTGTTCCCATTTCTTTCTCTCTCTCTCTCTCCCTCCCTCCCCCACTCTCT